GTACTAGTACAATGTGTAGGACTACTACTGTTACAAGTGTTAGGGCTACTACCATCGACTACTACTGTTCCGGACATGGAAATCCAGTCGATTGACCATGTTGACCGGGGCCGGCGCCCTCACCCTCACCCTAGCGCGTACAGAACGCTGCGTGCATGCAGTGTACAAAGACTACTGTAAAACTACATTGTAAGTCTGTAAGCCCATAAAATAGTAATAGTAATAACGAAGTGCCAACTCTAACGAGTTTGAGAAATCTGTCGTTAAAATAAAAATCGTTATACAGAAATCGGGCGTCGGAAGGTAATTTAGTGTGGTACGGTCAGCCATCTGAAGTACAATTTACTCGTGGGGGAGGGATGGCTGAGCCGAAAATTTTGGAAATTTGGAGCCCAAATCAGTGCATTTTATTGATTCACGGGGTACTTGGTCAATACCGTATAGACCGTACCGTGTGCGACGCCCCTGGTTCAACTTCAAATCGATACATATACTGTCCTATTGAGCGTTGAGAATAAGTGAGCATTACCTTTGCCACACGTAATCCAGTCAATTTTGAGAAATCGTTATAATTATATGCGCCTCGTTAGAATAATGGCTTTTACAGTAAGTCATGTTGATCCCATGCGACCAGCGCAATACTGTACAATGCATGTATGCTGGCATAATCTGCCATTTTAAGCATATGCGGATAATGTCGAAAAATTGGCAGAATTCGGTACTTTTTCTGGTAAGTTTCATGCATGTTTGGTATGTGGATAAAGAAATGGAGCAGAATTCGAGGAATTGCCCGCCATAAGGTTTGTATGGTTCTGCCAATTTCACTGCTTTTCGAGCAGAATCTGCCGCCTTTTCGAGCAGGATCCGCCGGTCCCTACCAACGGTCAAGCCACCGGCAGGTGGCTTTCAATTCCACAGCGCGGGCAGAGCTGAGTTTGTTAGCCTCTGCACAAATATTTTAGACAATGAAGCTAGTCAACCTACTGGCCACTACTATTAATATTATGTGTGAAGTGGAGCAGTCCACCATTGACCACGCAGCTAGCTGCTAGCACTAAAAAGTAAAATGCACGGCCCCGCTCCGCTGCTTTGCGCCACACGAACGATTCCGGTACCATAACTGGTTCTTTGCTGTTTTCTCTATCTGCACTGACTCTGTCCTACTGTAGTCTACACACATGTAGCCGATTCAGCTTTTCAGTTCAGCAGCAACAGAAAATTACTTCGAACTTCTTGTCAGCACCTTCTAGGTTCAGCCTGGTCCCATACTAGCTCAGTTGGTTAGAGCATTGCTCATGATAGCAAGGTCAAGGCATCTTCCGTGGAGTGTTGTGGCTGGTACGCAAACTGATTGCAGTGGCGGATCCAGGGGGGGGCCCAGGGGGCCTGGGCCCCCCCTTTGAAAATTTCGACCTTGGTCTAGGATTACAGTAGACTGTAGAATGAGCGCTCGAAATTACTTGGCGTGTCAAGTGGGTCACGCGTGCTGGGTACTTTTATACGTGTCCGATCACTCCGGTACATGGTGTCACGCACCGAGCATGAGTCTGTACTAGTCAGCGCGCTGTGTACCGGTGTACAACTACTGTACGCACTGCGACCTGAGGACACGGCCGCACTTCAAACATGTGAAAAACGTGCCAAAAATGCAGGGCCTGGTACATAGTGCAGCGATCGCGTTGGGCTGAAGTCCTGTTTGGTGCACGGTGCTGTCGACTTCGTCCTTCCTTTTTTCTTTTTCAATTGTCAGAAACTACAAGTATACGCTCTCTAGCTCTCTACTTCGCTTGTAGCCAACGGGTTACCTTCAGATATGAGATGAAGAGGAAAGGGTCTGACATCAGGTCGTTCTTCAGTGGACCGGTAGATAAGAGAGCTCGCGTTGGAGAGCCGTCCAAAGGTCCGTCGCGGCCGCTGTCGAGTGGAAATGTTCCAGTGCAGTTTGAAAATGTCGTGAGAATGGAATAAAACTAGAAACCGGCGGATTCTGCTCGAAAAGGTGGCATATTCTGCTCGAAAAGCAGTGAAATTGGCAGAATCATACAAACCTTATGGCGGGCAATTCCTCGAATTCTGCTCCATACTATAGTATTTTTATCCACATACCAAACATCCATAAAACTTACCAGAAAAAGTACCGAATTCTGTCAATTTTTCTGCCGGCAGAATCCGCCGGACCCTAAAAACAACTGCTCTTCACAGCTTCAGGACTTTGTTGTTGTTGTATTTGTTGTTTTGTTTGGGGGGGGGGGGGGGGGCGGATACCTTGGGCCCCCTCTTCGGCCAAGTCCTGGATCCGCCACTGGATTGGCGGGCAAAAGTGAATGGGTTTGTAAGAAGTCACACAGGCGTTTGTGGACTATCTTCTCCAAAATCTTCGATGCTATTGGCAGCAAAGATATGATGCCTTTTTGTCACCAGACTCAAATAGGGGTCGAACATTTGCAATCTTCAGGGAGGCGGGCACAATGCCAGACGAAAGGGATGCAATAATTAATATGGATAGCGACGGGGCGAGGGCTGCTGCACAATGCTTCAGGATGAATGCCGGAATACTGTCGCTGCCCTCAGCTTTACGAGCATCGAGTCTAACGAGGAAGGTGAATACCTCCTCAACACTAGTGGCCTGGAATTCCCGCAAAGGATCCCGTGGTGACAGACCACAAGGTAGGGATAGCTGCACAGGTCTACTTGGATCGGAGACTACTCCACTGAATTGCTCGCTGAGTGCTGCTATACTGACAGAGGGTGGAGTGGAAGTTTTGGTCCGGCCGCTGAGCTCGTTTATTGTCTTCCAAGTGAGGCGTGCATTTGCCTGACTCCGTGTGAGAAGATTCTTGTAGTACTGGGTCCTGAGGCGTCGGGACATTCGCTTATAATTATTAGCCTCGGCTCGTGCTGATGTGAATACAGTTCGCAGATCCATGTCAGTCGGCGAGGCTCGCCAGCGACGATGTGCTGCGTTGCGAAGTAGAATAGCGTCGTGGAAGGCAGGTAATTTCCAAGGACAGGGCGTGCGGGAGGAAGATTTAGGCCGATACGTTCGGACAGGAGCGTGCTCGTCCAAAACGGAAACAATCTTGTCAGTCCAAGAATACCACATGGCATCCACAGTCTGAGCGGTTGAAAAATTCTCCAGGTCACAATGATGCAAGTCATGAGCGAATCGGTTCATATCGATCCTTGCTAGGTTACGACCGCACTTGACAGCAGGAGGGTCCACAGTGCACTTGAAAGGTAGGTCAATTACGACCGCAAAGTGGTCGCTGATGGTGCAAGGGAGAACCATGCAGGAGGTTATCGCTCCATCCACAGCTAGGGCGAGATCCAGTGTTGTTCTGCTGCCGTGGGGGGCAATGCGGGTAGTGTCCTGCACCTTGTTGCTGATATTGAACTGGTCACAGAAGCGATATAAATTGTCGAGCTGAGGGGCTTGGCGCCGGCTTACGTCGACATTGAAGTCGCCCGTTAAAATCAGCGGGGACGATGGCATTGACGCCGCTGCTGTGTCCACTGCCTTGGACAAGTCCTGCCAAAGCTGTACTGGCGTAACTGGAGGTCGATACACTCCTAGGAGAATCCGGTTTCGATGACTTCTGATCTCCAGTAGCAAAAGTTCTATGTTGGTGTGGTCACCCACCACTCGTGCTTGAAAGCGATTGTGGACATAGGTTGCTAGGCCACCTCCATGACTGGGACGATCCCTCCGGAAAAGTGCATGGTTAGGTATGCTGAGCAAGCTGTCTGCGGTAGAACTAGATACCGTATTTCCTCGATTAATAGACCCGGTCTTTTGTTTTTTGAAGAGGGTTGGACCCCCGGTCTCTTATTTGGGCATGGTCCATTATTTGAGCACGGTCCACTATATTTTCATCGGCACATCGCTGGAAACTTTTTTTATTATGACGTGTTTAAAATCCACCATTTCCAGCGATGTGCCGATGAAAATATAGTGGACCGTGCTCAGATAATGAAAGAAAGCATTAGCCACTACAAAAATTGTAGTTGCGCAACCTAAAATCACGTCCTCTTTTGATCCACCACGTGCTTTCTTAGTGCGCAGGCGCAAAGCGATGAACTCAAATAAGTGACCGGGTCTCTTATTCGGGCATGGTCTACTATTTTTCCGTGAGGCCTCTAGGTGGGTCTACTATTTGAGCATGGTCTATTATTCGAGCATGGTCCATTAATCGAGGAAATACGGTAGAAAGGTTTCCGCCAGTATCATGATGTCAATGTTTTTGAGATAGTGTAGCGGGCCGCAGTCTCTCTCGGAGGCAAATGCAGACGGGTCTCAGTGAACACACTGTTGTTAACTTTATTATTACTAATGACTGGATTGAAGGTTGAACTCTAACTCTAAACTGACATTACTGAAGGTTCTAACTGGTATCTCTAACTGGCCTTTCTAACTGTAGTTTCTAACTGGCGTGTAGAGAATTGTGAACAGCAGCTTTTATAGGCAGACAGCATACGTGCTGCAACAGCAATGGTCACGGCAAAGGCTCAGCAGAGAGAAGAAGAAAGGTCAAAGTATGTTGTGTGGCCTACAGTCATTGCACAAGGAATGCCATTTGATTCTATGCAGAAGAAGGAGCTGAATAGCAGTGTTGGCAATGGGCGTAAGAGAGGTGGTTGAAAGTGCAGCAAAAGGTCTAGACTAATATTTCTAAGGTCAATATGAAACATTGAACGCAGTGAGACTAGTTACTATCCATGCCATGGATCTGCAAGCACAGTACAGAGTTGCAAGTGCGGGGTACGGGTGCGGTGTAACACGCGTGACCAATACATTGAAAGTGATTCACGCTGCAGCTGTGTGAGTTACTAGCGTGCCAAGGCTACAATAGTATGAAATCCTCAATTTCATGCTTTTTATTAAGAAGGTGGCACACATTGAGGAACCCTACTCTAAGATTTAGACTAAGGCCGTTGGTGCTGTTCGATAAAGGGGCTAAATTAGGGGGGGGGGGTGTGGTCTAGGATGGAATGGGATTGCATTAGGGTTTAGTGGGGTGTTGGCATTCATGATGTGGCTGAAGCTGCTGCTTCTTTCCACGAGATTTAGCACTGTAGTTTCGGAAGAGACTGCAAAACTCCATATCAGCAATTACCAGCTTATGATCGCTTGTCACTTCCGTACCTGAATAAGAACATGCTTTCCCCAGCAAGGGTCTGAAGCGCTCTGGGACGATGATATATCCGATAGTGTTGTAGATCTGCTTTTTGACTCCAGTATCCGTGCTAGTTACTGATCCCGTCCATGTTGTTCTGTAGCGCATGGAATATTGAAACAGTGTACTAACCAACACAAGGCAGTTTGACTGAGTCCACTGCACAAGGGCTTCACCGTTCTCGTTGCGTGTACCTCTCGAGAAGGCACCCATGGACGCACACTGACAACTGCCAACTTTGCTGTTGAAGTCTCCGACACAAAACACTAGTGTCCTCTCATTTTTAGCTTGCAGTCCTTCAGAAAGCTCGTCATAGAATTTGTCTCGTTGCTCTGGGTTCTGCTTGGCGACTGGGTTGTTTGGACCATACGCAATAATGAAGCGAACAGGAACCCGTTCGTTGCTCTTGTTGTCGACCGGTAGCGACGGCGATAGGAAGTCCGCGTATCCTACACGGTCAGAATTTTGTTTGAAATTTGTTAGGTACTGCTGGAAATTGTTGGAGACGGCAAATCCAATTCCGCCATGTCGACCTGTCTCCTGACCGAATCCTATCAGACGATACTCTTTCTGAACACCTATTCGTTTGTCAATGTCATCCACAATTTTCAGCTCTTGAAGTCCACAGAAGTCAATACGATAGTGCGTCAAGTCCCGTTGCTCTTGCTTGAAATTTGACGATAGTCCGCGAACATTGAAAGTTGCTATTCTCGTTCGCTGGCTCCATTTGGTAGTAGTTCTAGAGCTCATTCGATCATTGAAAAAGAGAAGAGAGGAGAAAAGAGAGAGGAGAGGGTGACCGAGCAGAGTTGCAGCGGCAGAAAGAGTAGAGAAGAAATTCGCTGAGCAGTCCGCTCAACACCAGCTCAGCACGGGAAAAGGGAATGAGCATTATCGCAACTACCGTTGATCTACCGTTTCCCTGAAATGAGTCTGAAGGCAGGTGAGAAATGAGCGAGGATGCATTTGTCCGACATGAAGTCCGTGACTTGACATTTTAGACCCCATGCCCATGTGAAGGTTCCGGAAAAGTTGCGAAATACATGTCATGTAGTTCGCGAAGATGAAGAAAGTAACAGTTGCGAAAGTTGCGATTTCTTCCTAAACAACGAAAAGTAGCGAAAAAAGTGACGAGAATCTTTGGGAAAGAGCTACACCATGTACACAGCATGCACTCACTGACTCAGTCAGCGAGTCAGCGGGAATTACATGGTTTTGCATTATTATTCTTTTATTCCACGATGGCGTGACGCTTTGATAAGTGTGATAGAACTGGTACTAGCCAGAAACAGCTAGATGGAAATTAACCGGGAGGCTAGAAGCAATGGATCATGAAAAACAAGCGGGGGTGATCGAGATGGTTAAGTACACGTTCGAGATATCAGAAACCATGCTCGGAGCAGGAACAGGTACTGCTCAAAAGAAGACTGGACGCATTGTTTCGGAAAGAATTTCTTCGAGGTTGGATTGTGATGTCGATAGGGAGTGAGTTGTAGAGGGTGAGGGCACTGTTGATGGGGGAATCTCGGTGCCTGTTTGTGTGTGCGTGTCTGATAGAGTAGATCCTTGTCTGTCGAAGGGTGTATGGTTGGTGTTGACGTTGTGGTGCAAGATGTGGTTGTTGCAGGTGTGGTGGGGAGGTTTGGTGGTGGATGTCCCATGCTAGTATGACTTGTTTAACAAGGAGTAGTGAGCTAAGGGTGGGAAGCTTTGCGTGATGGAGGAGAGAACTATGGTAAACTGGTGCAAAGAGGGTAATCCGAAGGCAGATGCGTATAGCACGGCGTTGAATTCTCTCCGGTGTGTCCCGCTGTTGCTGTGTGGTGTTGGAGAGGTCAAGGCTGCCATATTCGAGAACGGCTGGGATGTAGGTCGTGTAAATTAACAATAGGCTGGAAGCGTTCATTGTGCCATGTGTCTTGTGGAGTTAGTGTAGTAGTTTTTTGGCTTTGTTGGTGGATTCTATGATGTGTTGGGTCCATTGCATCTCGACTTGGAGTGTAACACCAAGGTGCGTATGTTGGTGGACCTGCTGCAGCCGAGTCGAGTGGAGCGTGATGTGGATGGTGTGTTGGGGTTGGAAGGAAAGGACGACGGATTTCGTGGTGTTGACGAGGAGATGCCAATCCTTCAACCATCGTCCTGCTGCGTCCACGGCACGTTGGAGGAATGCAGCTGATAAATGATCCCTGGTGTAATGCTTCGCGATGACTTCAGCTGGAATGGATTTCCACGATGACAAAGCGGAGCCAATCTTGAAGCGTTGTCGGCGGCGAGTCAGATAGCTTGTGGGCCAGGTAAGGGCAATTCCACGGACACCAAGGTGCTCGAGTTTGGCCAGGAGGCCAGCATGCCAGACTCGGTGAAAAGCCGTTGATAAGTCAAAGAAGCATGCTGACACTGCCTGACCGGCATCTCGGCTGGCGGAAATCTCATGCACTAGGCTATAGGCGGGAGAGCTGTAGTTCAGTGCTATACTACTATCCTTAGATCGAAATCCAGATTGTTCGGCCGGTAGGTGGGGATCAATAGGGGTGTAGAGGCGTTGGTGAACAATCCTCTCCTGAACCTTGCTAACAACGCTCAGGATTGGCCTATAATTGGTGACCCCTGCACGAGAGGCTTTCTTGTGTAGAGGACTGATAGTGGCGTCGCGCCAGTCCTGTGGCTTCTCGCCTCGCGAGAAGGACTCATTGAAAAGAGTTGCGAGGGAGCACGATATTTCGTCTGCAGTGATCTTGAGCAATTTCGTCGGGATGCCATCGTACCCAGCCGACTTCATGAAATCAAGAGCGGAAAGGAGTTTTCTGACCTCCTCCTGGGTGGTGATGATTTCCTTCAGTTCGCTTCCGATGATGCGCGACACGCCTATCTCTGGTACATGACATTATTTTAAGTCCTCTTGACCAATACCAGTTTACCAACAAGTGATCTACAAACGGAACTAGTTGACGTGACCAACGTGTAGCCGGGGTGTTCCGACGTGGTAAAGGCCTACCCATGGCCGCGTCGGGACATCACCAACCCCGTCTACAGAGAGCACCTTCTCGCGACAGTGACATGGTGGTGACAGTAACTGTTGACAGCTGACGAGCTGAGAGAAGGACGCTATGGGAAGAAGTTGGAAGAAAAGAAGATTAGAGAAAAAACGTTCAGGTTCAAGTAGCTACTTGACTACCAGGACTAGGCCTTTACGGATTATGCTAATATTTTCGTGAAATTATGCTTTTCGCATTGCTGAAAAATTGCAGAATTATGCTATTTTTATGCTAAAAGTTATCATATTATGCCGCATTATGCTCACATATGCTGCTAATGCATAATGGTTCTGTGCAAAATAACAAGGGATTTTTTTGTAGAGGGCGTTGTACTGTAGTAGCAAACGTTCAACGGGGTCAACGCACCGTCCGACCTAGCTACGACTAGGCCTTGACGGATTATGCTAATATTTTCGTGAAATTATGCTTTTCGCATTGCTGAAAAAATTGCAGAATTATGCTATTTTTATGCTAAAAGTTATCATAATTATGCCGCATTATGCTCACATATGCTGCTAATGCATAATGGTTCTGTGCAAAATAACAGGGGAATTTTTTGTAGAGGGCATTGTTAGGCCTTGACGGATTATGCTAATATTTTCGTGAAATTATGCTTTTCGCATTGCTGAAAAAATTGCAGAATTATGCTATTTTTATGCTAAAAGTTATCATAATTATGCCGCATTATGCTCACATATGCTGCTAATGCATAATGGTTCTGTGCAAAATAACAGGGGATTTTTTTGTAGAGGGCATTGTACATGTACTGCAGTAGCAAAAGTTCAACGGGGTCAACGCTCCGTCCGACCAAGCTACGACTATCACTGATTGTAGTGGACTGGACATGTTATCAAGGGAGTCGTAAACCTACAACTTACTTCCTAGTGCATCTACTTGTACTTGTACTTGTAGAACATGTACAACTGTATGGAATTTGATGCGAACAGGCGGATTATTCCAATTTTATGCGATTCGTATGCAATTTGCCTCGAATTATGCGATTATTCGATTTTGGTAGGAATTATGCGAAAAATTATGCTAGCATAATCCGTCAAGGCCTAGCTACGACCATCACTGATTGTAGTGGATGGACATGTTATCAAGGGAGTCGTAAACCTATAACTAACTAGTGCATCTACTTGTACTTGTAGAACATGAACAACTGTATGGAATTTGATGCGAACAGGCGGATTATTACAATTTTATGCGATTCGTATGCAATTTGCCTCGAAATATGCGATTATTCGATTTTGGTAGGAATTATGCGAAAAATTATGCTAGCATAATCCGTCAAGGCCTAACCAGGACGACATCCAGGAGCGATCAACGAATACACGACGGACGTAAGGAGAAGTCTTAAACCACTTCTAGCATGATGAGGGTCAGAACCGGGTTCAACACCCATAATTATGGTTCAAATGGTCCGCAGGGACCGGGGCTCTGCCAACCGCGGAAGATTGTAGTAAGGTCACTGTTTCCGAACACAGTGTCCTCCACCTTGTTTCCATCATGCTGTCAATCTAACAATATGTACGTACTACTAGTAGAAGTATGAACTCGGGTTGCTGTCATAGCGGCAATTGACATTAATTGGTCCTGAGATGACGAGAGCATGTGCGTTGAATCTATCACTACAGCACGCATATGCTCTCGTCATCTCAGAACCAATTAATTAATCTGCGGCTATGACGGCAACCCGAGTTCATCATGATACTTGATAGACACCTATCACAATCACTGAATCAGCCGACTGTAGTGTCTGTGTAGAACCAAGGGCCGCAACAAACTATCCACACAGTTGATGATCTGGAGTGCGAGTGGTAGACCCTACTGTGTCACACAGTAGATCTACCACTCGCACTCCAGATCATCAACTGCTTACACAGTATCCTCCTCATCGTCATCCTAGCGAGTGGGTTCAGACTTTGCTACGCGGCGGGTGGTGACACGTACGTAAAAACAGCGAAGAACCAGTTACCGTATCGTCCGAGTGACGCAAAGCAGCGGAGCGCGCGGGGTCCGTGCGTTTTTCTTAGTGCAAGCAAGGAGCAGTTTGCTGAGTGGTCAATGGTGGACTTCTCGGCGTGACACATAATAGTAGGGGCCAGTAGGTTGACTAGCTTTATTGCCTACAATGTCTGTGCAGAGGTTACCAAACTCAGCTGCCCGCGCTGTGGAATTGAAAGCCAATTGGCAATGGTTTTATAGTCGGCCTTTTCTGCTACAAAGACGTCAACATCGGAAGAGACGTCAGACTCAGATTGAGAATCAGGAAGCAGAAAGAAATTCGGGTACGGAAATTCGTATTCTATCGTCTAGAATTGTTCGATGATCATGGATAGAGATCAATACCAAGCCAACACTCGTACCAAGCAAGATGAAGAGAATCTATGCAGACGATGGTACGTAGAGGACTGCCGCCATATTGTTTGTACTGCGAAAGACTGTCCCCGGCCCTGGCCTTGTCGAGCAGGGCAGGAGATCTACTGTGATGAATGCAGCTACATCTACAAACCAGGGCTGGCTCTTTTCCGATGCGGAGAATGCCGGAAAAACCTCTGCGACATTCATGCCCAGGCCCACTTGCGTGCGCGTTCCACGTATGCACACAAGATTTGGAAACTGGTACAAACTCCCAGTAAGGTCAGTGCGGTAAAGTTGCCACTGAAGGTCTGTGGTGACAGTACTTGTCTGCGCTGCACAACACGCAGC